ATCAAACAAAAAGTCTGAATCTTCTTTATGCCCCCCCCTCAAGATGTAAAAAAAAAAAAAAAAAAAAAATCAGCATCAGAACATACCTTAAGTCAGCTCTGCACATGTAGGTGAGTTTGGATTTCCCTGACCCGCAGGGTTCGATTAGATACCTGGCCAGGAGCACATTGACCCTCACTCCCACCACAGGGGCCCGGTCGTGATCCACGGAGGTGAGTAAAAGGGCACAAGCTCCCTTGGGTAAATTAGTCCTCCATGTTCTGTAGGGACAAAACGAGAGGGGGAAAAAAATGGAGTTTCCTGGAAGCCGAGTTTAAAACGGGGCCTCACTCTTAGAGAAGGCAGCTGAAGGGCAGGATGGGGGCCACGCCGTGCATCCATCCTTGTGCAAGGACTCCTGAATGACAAACTTCAACAGAGGCCCTTCTGCAGTGGTATTTAAGCTCACACAGTCAGTTCTTGGAAAGAGAACCCATCTGAAGTGGGTCTGAAAACCCTTTGTATATTTCACAGATGTATTAGAACATGGACATCCAAATGTTAGTCTGTTGGAGAAGTTCTGGACTAATAATGTGACATTTCCTCAAAGATTTTTGGAATTCTTCTTTAAATAATATCTTCAGAGAATTTATGAATCACATATGAATCAGCTTTAACCACAGCTCACTTGGGACCCAAATGTTATTTCCTGGCTTATGCATTCACTAGCTGTTTCTAACGAGAAAATCTATCCTAAAGGGGGCAAAAATCAGCTACCACTGAACACGTTCAATGGAATGTGCCTCTCTTTCTGAGCTCAATTCCAAAAGAGTTCAAACCATTTTCAGGGATGGACACACTGTTGGAATAAATGAGGATATATTTTTCATATTTGGAAGGGTTCAACGCTTTTCTGGAAGCAAACGTTCTACTTTAAATAATGTTAACATCTTATAACATTCAGTGCCACAGAGGCTCATCCTTGCTGCAATAATCAATCCGGAAGCTCTCACCTCAGAACAACGTAGTCCCGAGCAGGATGGGGTGCCATACTGTTTTGGACATACTGGTAAATTTCAGTTTGGCTGTCCAGGATCTCAATCACTTTTGAATCCAACAAGTCTACGTCCCAGAGGTGCTGCTCTTTAAGTAGGCGCTTTAAGATTTCCTCAGGCGATGCAGGGACTTCAATGGTTGCCCTCCAAAGCCTTAGAGGTGGTCCTTCACTCACCTGAAAAGAGGATGTACTCTTCAGTGCTGAGACAATTCCCACACACCTAGACTCTGAAGGCAAACTACTAGCTGGGTATGTGGTCCTAATGTTTATTTCTGGCTTTAATAGGCTGCTGACTGCAAGTACATTCCAGATCAGGCCAGAAAGCAAATAGTACTGCTGGCGTCACCTCCGGTTATATCTGTTTTCCTGGGACGCATATTAGGGTCAATGTAATAAAACTAAGATTTATCTGCACTCCCAAGCCTGCATGGCCATCCGACTGCTCTCATTGTTTCTACTCAAGGTGGTAGAGACAAATCAACAAATACCTCCATGCACCTGTCATGCAAAGCAATACAGGATGCCTCTGCCCTTAAGGGGCTTTCAAGTTAACCACCCACCCACCCAGCACTCCCTGCTCATTAAAGGGCCAAGAGAAGAGTGACTGAGAACAGGAGAGAGCCCAAGGGGATTCCAATCAAATGATGGAAATATCTAAGCACGTCACAAAATGCCCAAAGGCCCCATACCATTAGTAAAACATTCCAGGGAATTCTGGTGTGTTTCTGTGGAACCAAAGGATTTCATTAGATATTTTGATTCCCCTGACACGTGTTCAATGAGTACTATTCCTCACTGAACTGGTTTCCACTCTTACCTGGGGGATATGAATCACCTGGCCGCCTAGCTCTATAAGGAAGGGAATGGGTGACAGATCCCCAAGGAGAACTGTGTTGGCAAAAGGGTAACTCGTCTCTGATGAACCCAAGTCCTGACCACTAGAATTCAAATGGCTGACAACGGGGAGACGACATACCTTCTTATAGGATAGCTCAGCCTGCTCAGATGTAGAGTAGCTGACCCAGCCTTTGAATTTCTCTTTGACCTCTTTAAACAGGCTGTCCACACAGTCCTGGAGGAAGTGTTGGTAGTTGGCTGACTCATCATTACAAAGGCGTCCTAACGCTTCTAGGGTAAGCGGCTTCAGCTCTTGTTCCGTGTAGGAATTTCGACATCGGCTCATTTCCTCAGGAACCTGGGAGGAACACAAGAGACATAAAGGAGGTTTGTTGCCCATCAGAGGAAGCGGCAAGATCCTCAAGGCAGTGCAAGCAGTCCAGTCCCCCTGCTTCCAACAGATGGAGGAGTGTCCCTGCCGACCTCATGTGGTACCGTGAGGACGCAAGCAGATCACCTTCATAAAGGTACCTAGAAAGCTCATTTTTGTGTGAGGTCCTCTTCTTTAGAAAGTTACAGTAGGAGAGTAAGGGATTAAAATAGGGTGTACACTGACGAAGACAGATTGTTTTTTAATTGAAGTACAGTTAGTTGATTTACAATTATTACAATAGTTTCAAGTGTACAACATAGTGGTCCAAAAACTATAGATTATGCTCCATTTAAAGTTATTGTAAAGTATGGGCTATATTCCCTATGCTGTACAATATATCCTGTCACTTATTTATTTTATACACAGTAGTCTGTACCTCTTAATCCCCTTGCCCCCCACACCCCTCTTACCTTTCAAGCCACTAGTTTGTTCTCTATTCCTGTGAGTCTGTTTCTGTTTTGTTATATTCATCTTTGTCTTATTTTTTTAGATTCCACATGTATGCAGTAACATACAGTAACTTGTTTTCCCCTGCCTGACTTATTTCACTAAGCATAATACCCTCCAGGTCCATCCCTATTGTTGCAAATGGTAAAATTCAAAATTTCATTCTTTTATTTACTTATTTTTTATTTAATTTAATTAATTAATTTATTTATTTTTGCGGTACGCGGGCCTCTCACTGTTGTGCCCTCTCCCGTTGCGGAGCACAGGCTCCGGATGCGCAGGCTCAGCGGCCATGGCTCACGGGTCCAGTCGCTCCGCGGCACGTGGGATCTTCCCGGACCGGGGCACAAACCCGTGTCCCCTGCATCAGCAGGCAGACTCTCAACCACTGTGCCACCAGGGGAGCCCCTCATTCTTTTATTTTAATGGCTGAGTAGTATTTCATTTTATACACACACACCCCCTCCCCACCACATCTTTATCCATTCATCTGTTGATGGACACTTAGGTTGTTTCCATTGGCTATTGTAAATAATGCTGTTACCATTGGGGTGCATGTATCTTTTTGAATTAGTGCTTTTGTTTTCTTTGGATATACTCAGGAATGGAATTGCTGGATCCTAAGGTAGTTCTATTTTTAATTTTTTAAGGAATGGTCATACTGTTTTCCATAGCGGCTGCACCTCAGATACAGAATTTATTTCAGATAATTTGTTACTTCTGCTTTCTAGGTAAAGGGGTATGGAGGTAGGCAATTTCATCAACATATTAATTCTAATGAGCTTATACATTATAAAATATATAAATAAGACATTCTCAGACTATATATATAATCTTCAGCTGTGGAAAAGACCTTTTGGTTAAGATGTGAACAAGTTGGGACTTCCCTGGCAGTCCGGTGGTTAAGACTCCACTCTCTCAATGCAGGTGGCACAGGTTCAGTCCCTGGTTGGGGAACTAAGATTCCACATGCCATACAGTGTGGCCAAAAAAAAAAAAAAAAAAAAAAGATGTGAACAAGTATGGTGCCCAAGATTTTGTCCTCATTAACATCATCCTTGACAAATAACAAAACTTCCCATCTCCTTACCTGGAAAAGCTTCTTGCACTCAGCAATCATATGGGCTAGCCCTTGAGTGGCAGCAAGATTTTCATTCAAATCTTTCTGATCTGGTTTTCCCAAGCTTTGTTTTCTTTGCATTACCCTAGAGAGAAAAATAAGGTAAGGGAAAGATTCAAATATATATATATATATATATATATATATTTTTTTTTTTTTTGCGGGCTCCCTTATCTGTGAAATGAGGTTAGTGTCACCGTCACACCTCCCTTGCACATGGCTCACGGACCCAGCCGCTCTGCGACATGTGGGATCCTCCCAGACCGGGGCATGAATCCGTGTCCCCTGCATCGGCAGGCGGACTCTCAACCACTGCGCCACCAGGGAAGCCCCGAATTATATATATATTTTTAATCAATGTGTTATTCGAGGAAACCTAAAGGAGAGAAAAAGACTTTCACTGGAGGCTATTTGTCATTAAGTGGTTAAGGAGAGCTTTACTTTGGTGCACAGAAAACATGGAAGAGACTGTCTCCGATGAAATCTAGGTTATTTAAAACCATCACGTTAAATAGGTTCCTATTTAAACAGGGCAGCTTGTAAGGTCTATACTGTGAGGGGTGGCAGGAAGGAAAGGCAGCTTTGAGGAGTATGTGGTGGGAGGCACTTGTCAAGGGGCTAAACAAGATCATTCTTTCCAGTGTAAATTAACAGGAGCCCCTCCTGTCAGTGAAAGAAAAGTCTATTGTTTCCTAGAGCTTTTGTCTTAATCTTATCTAATCTCTCTCTTCTGCTCACCTCTAGCTCTCTATCCCATTAAACACAGGACTAGTTAATTAAGCATTGTATGGCTTTCAGAAGCAAAGCTAACTTCACTAGCGCAACCAGGCCTCATGCCTACAGCTGAGAAATATTTGTCAAGTTCCTTTACAGCTGAGGAAAAGGATCAGCAGGATGAATTTAGCAGAAAGGGGTTAGTGACACTTCACCATGAGGCCTTTATACGAAATATTCATATAAGTAAGATGATCCAACTGGTTCTGCCATTTTTTCCATCAGCATAGGCAAGTTATTCAATACTTACTTAAGTGACCTGCCCTGCAGTCTTGCCTCATGTGTAAAATAGATACTAACAGGAGCTTCACCTCCTACGATTGTTATGAGGATTAAAGAAGATAATCAATGTCCAGGGTGTAGCCCCATGCTGGGGACAGAGTAAGTGCTGAGCAAAAGAGCCTTTGTTATGTTCCAGATTCCTGGACCTCCACAGTCACTTCGATCTTGTCTACATCTAAGGAGAAACTTTGCAACAATTGGCTCAGCTGAGTCTTAACTTTGAGGCTCAACGTCATCCTTAGTCATTTCAGATCCAGCTCCTTTCAACTTTCCCTCACAGGCCGGCAGCTTGGTTCTACTGAAGAAGCCACGGCAGCTTGGTTTTATTTATGCAGAAGCCAAGGCAGCAGGGCTCTCGTCCCCCATCCAGTTTTTGAGGTCTGTAAACTCTCTTGTCTGTTTGCCGGCAGAAAGTATGATGACAATGTTACAGAGAGCACTGGGGGGAGGATCAGGGGAAACACCTGCCACGGCAAAGCAGTAATGCACATCTCTCTCAAAACCTGGTTGAAACTAGATTGTCTACGAAGTCACACCCCCAGGGCCGAGAAGAAAGAATGGAAGCAGCACAAGGGAGAAACTCCTTTTTGCTGGATTCAAATATGAATCCAACAAAAACACAGGGACAGCCCTACAAGGAAACGGAGCCTTCTTCTGTCTAAAGAACCGAGCATGCGCGTGCGCGTCTCACCACCACGCGTGCGCGTCTCACCGTGCACGTGCGCAGCTTACTGGACCCGTACCTTGGAGAGGAATTCTCTCTCTTGAGGGTGTTGAGGTGGAAGAGGGAAGGCGCCAAGCACACGGCCAAGTTGGTGGGAGTCATCTGGTTCTCCTTCACAGCTGCTGTGACATCGCTCAGGAAGTAGAGGAGCGTCTGCAGGACCTCCCTGTTCTCATCAGGCAGGAGCATGATGGCGGCCTTGATCGCCTGAAGGCGCTGGTCCTTGGGCACATCTGCACGACACCCGCATTTACCCCATCAACCCAGTGGTTTTCCATGTACGTTAGCAAGGAAACGTCCCAAAGCAAATAGCGGCATCAAAGACCTCAGCCCAGCACTGAACAAGCACTTGCAAAAAGTGTACTTGAGGTTAATACGGAAGAAATTAGGGATGACCACCAGCGTCACCACCCTCAAGTACTTCCTGCCTGTGGAGGAGTTACAATTTTTAAAAACCCACAGTGACAATATACTCCTGAATCCACCTCAGAGTGCAGCTCCAGATGATGCCTGCTCTTTTCTTTTACTTTACAGTTCTTTACGGTTCTTTCTTTTCTAAGTACTTTTTTGAAACTCCTAGTTTACCATTCTTAATTACTGAACATTATAGGCTATACTTTTGTTTAGTTTCAACGAGAAATCTTATCAAAGACATACAAGAGGATGAGAACCGAGATTTCTTCACCTTGGCTACAAAATGTTCAGCATCTCAGCAGACTCTCCCAATTTCAACTGATCTGCTCATTCTTTAAATGGGGAAAGGAAGCTGCTAAAATATTCCATTTAAACAACAGATATGTTTAACTAGTAATTTCTTTAAGTTTTAGAAAGCCCTACTGAGAGGCTACTATAAAAATACATGCTTGAGAAATAAACCCATAAAAAATATATAATATAAATAATATAACAATATAATGTAACATAACATTATATAATATATGTATAATACAATTATAATGTACTATATATAAATAAATAAAATAATACACGTAGAAAATGTGGAACACAACTTTCAGGTCTCCTTTACTAGGCAAATTTTTCTTTTAAAAGGCGTGTGGTGGAAAACTGAAGTCACTCAAATGCAGCTCCATAGGACAAACTGATTAAACAGCTCCATGGTTACAATACATAACAAATAACTTGGTAGGGGAAATGTGACCTGTGTTTTCATAAAATCTGAAAGGACGAAACAAATAATGAAATAAACCAGACCAACTCCATTTCTCATAAAATAAAATCCCACGTGCCAATTCTAAAGACAATTCAAGCACTGAGAGAGGCTGCTTTTAAATTACATTGCTGTAATAACACACTGAGCCAAGAAAAACACAAGGCTGTAAAAGCTATAATCCTGATCTTGATCATTAATTCAGACCACTGTTTGCTTTAAGCTTTACTTAAAAGTGAGATGGGCATGGGTATTGTCTTCCCAAGTATTTCTGGTAGAAGCTGAGATGAATAGCAGAAAAAGATTATTTATTCGTTTTACAGCAAGATAAAACACACAGACACCTGTGAAACTTTAAACACAACAGGCCCTGCTAGAGAAATGTGAAGCAACTGAAATGCCTACAGAGAAGGCAGAGAGAGAGATCTCGGAATCTGCTCTTTTAAGTATCTTCGATAACACTGTTCTGGAAACGAATGAAAAAAACGAGCTCCTGGATCAGAATGTAAAAATGCACGGTTGCTTCGGTAATTAGAGAATGATGACGAGGGAAATCTATTTTTGCATTATTCAACAGGTACACAGAAACCTGTTCCACAAACAAGAAGGCAAGGAAGAAAGAAATCGATGACGAATTTCTAAGAGATCATCACGTAGGTCCAAGAGAATGACATCAAAGGAGCTACAGGTTTCGGCTGACCCCACTCTTCCCCACTGCCAACAATGTCAAGATCAAAGAACACTTACATTGGTAGATCTGCAGAAAGGTTTCCGAGAGTTTGTTCGTCATTAGTGGCTCAGGAAGATCTCGAAAATACTGCTTCAACATGTCTGCCACGTCATAAGCAGACTGCCCCTCATAGCTGACACAATCTATGGTGCTTTCATTCATCTGGCGCAGAGCCTGAATCCGGGATTTGACACCCGATTTTCTGAAGAGTCCAACCTATTGGAAAAAAAACATTAAGCGTTTTTTCACTGCAAAACCAGAAGATGCATGCATCTGGCCTCCCATGATTAAGCGGGACCTGCAGGCAGCAGCTCTCACCTGATCCAGACAATGGTTGCGGAGGTAGCGCATGGCCTGCTGAATGCTCTGGGGGAGGGGCTGTCCCGTGCGCTGCACGTTGACCGTCAGAGGGACCCCGAATACATGCCGGTCCTTGTAGTCGGGAACCTTGATCCTTTTCATAAACTTGGGCACAGCCCTATTGAAAAAATATTGGGGATTGGAAGGATATGTTTACTTGTCTGTCTATGTTTTTGTCCATCTGTGCAGTTAAACCCTGTGGGCTCTAGATCTGTGCTAATAAGGTAGCTATTTAAATTTAAATCAAACAGAAGTACAAATTCAGTTCCTCAGTTGTATCAGCCACATTTTAAGCACTCACAAGCCATTTGTGGCTGGTAGTTACCATACTGGACTGTGCAAATATAGAACATTTCTACCACCACAGAGAGTTCCATTGGACAGTGATGTTCTACATCCTCTAAGGGTTGGGGCTGTGAGGCCCAGTAACAGCTCCTCAGTTGGGGATTCTCCTTCCACTGGTAACTCTGAGAACTGGGTTTGTGTTCCTAAGGGAGGTGATGGGCTTCCTTACAAAACGGTGGCACAGGAAGGAACAGAAGGAGAAAAGAACAGTCAAGACCCTAAGTAGGAGCTTCAGGACAGAGTTGAAAGACAAGCTCCTATTTGTCCTGAAAATGGACAAGAATCATTTCTAGGTTCTTGATGAGATCCAAAGTATTTAGGGTAGAAAAAAGATCAGGACGAGAAAACAGCAGATGCATGATGTTGGTCTGACATAATGAGAACCACCTCCAGAGCTCAACAGTGGGGGCCAAGCTAATGACCCGAAGTCAAAATAAATTCTCCTGCTGATGACCCCAGAGAATATAACATCTTTAGCTTTCTAAAGGAAGACAGAGAAGAACAATGAGGGTTTTGTGAGCCTACGCCAGGCTCCCTGGAGTCCTGACACCAGGTCCAGCCGGAGCAGTATATGCAGCAGCAGGAAACCAATGTCATGCATTGAATGCTGTCAAGCAGAAATTTCAGCTCTACAAATGACCTCTCTAAATGGGACAAGGAAGGGCAAGGCCGAACAGGAAAGGAACTTTGTGTAGAATTTCTCCTCACTCCGTGGATCCCACAAGGCGAGGCTTTAACATTTGGTTTGGACTCACTGGAAAAACTGACCAGAACCCAGGAGGTATTATGGGCTTTCAGATTCTTGAGGGTTCGGTGGTGCTGGTGGGGGAAACCCAGAAATGAGAACGTAAAGTATATGCAGTTTTAAATAGCCAGCCGGGAAACCCTGACTCGAAGCACAGAGGAACACGGCGCAAGGCAGACTCTGCCGTGACTTTTGAGTGCTTACACCACAGCCATGGCGTGTTACTGTTTATAGCTCTAGGAAAGGAAAAACTGAAGCACACAGCCAAATGTGTGTTTCCATACAGTTAAGTATATGGTATCACGGCTATAAGTGTGCATAATACTCGCTTTGTCGGGGGAGAAAAGCCCAGCGGCAGAATGTGCAAGGAACACATTACGATCTCCACCGAGAATCTGAAGCATGTGGGGATAAACCAGTCAATACTTATTTCTGTCATTCAGAACAAACAACTTCTGTATTTAGCAGGGCTCACATAATAACAGCCTTTGAACAGGAGATGCTTTGATGCCGAAGTTAACCTCACTATGAGTCCCAAGGAGGGGAGGAGCTGGAGAGAGAAGGGTTACACTGCTCCGCTGACTCTCTGGTTTGCTACCGAGCGCTACTCATGAATTGGGCCACTTCTCCATTTTTATAAAGAGCGGTAATTGTGCAACTGGATAGTGAACACTTAGACTGGTGAAAAGACTTCAGGATACACAGCTGACACTGCAGAATGCGCTGGGATGTCAACGTAGAGACATTTCTCTGCTTTGCCCTCAGTAGAAAAATTAAAATATGCACATAATGGGTCCTATCCATGACCCATCCAGCCTGACAGTCTACATCTCACACTATACACACCAAGGGCCATACTTTTTGAAAGTATGGACAGCTCAATAAATTTTATCTTCGTATATTATTTTAGTCTATGATACCTTAGAGTGGTGAATTCCTTAAAATGATTATCCACTGCTTAAGAGTCTGTTGGAAAAAACAAAACTAAACTCTTTAGCTCAGGTAGATTTTTGTGATGCTGCAAATACTCACATCGAAAATGATTTCTAAAAATGTGCAAAAAGAGGGGTACAAAACCAGGTACTGTACATGAAGCATTTCAAAGTTGGTCTCATAACACCTTATGATCTAAACAGTTTTCTTCCCTTCCTTCCCAATTATGATCTGATCCTGTACGTGTATTTGCCTGTGGTGGGCTATTCCCACCACTGGGAAGGAAGCGCCTGGACAATGAGATGGAAGAGTAGAGCATTCTCATCCCATCAACTGGCGATTTGTTACTCAGAGCACTGAAAACTCAGCCAACCCTGATGGAAATTCCCTAAAGCTATATTGGCTTAAGCAGTGTCAGATGTAACCTCAAGAATGCAGAAACTGACTGCATTAGGATGATGGACTAAAGATACAGGATGCAACCGTCATATCCTCAGTGTTGGGATAGCATTGGTTGAGAACATTTTCAAATACAGTTCACTTGACAGTTTAAACCCTTACCAGCTAAAACCATGCTTATTAGAAGGCGTGTATTTCTCCAGCAGGGCAGTTAACTTCAGGAGGGAGTATTTCTGCAGCAGGTTCATCTGGGCCACAGACTGGCAGTTAATCTGCAGCGATACAGAGTTTAAGCTCGGCCGATGAGAGCTCTGGAAACTGTGCCATCTCAGCCTGTGCCTGTGAGAGAAGGCAGGGAATGTGAGTGAGTACGAAAGCTTTTTAATGGGTCAATGCAGAGTCAGCAGTGGGCCGCTCACCGGCCTCTTATCTTAGGAACTGAGAAGACTCAACTTCCATTCCAGTCTTTTTTTTCCCCCTGTGGTAAAATATATATAACATAAAATCTACTGTCAACCACTTTGAGTGCACAGTTAAATACATTAAGTATTAAGTACATCCACAGTGTTGTACAACCATCCGTACCATCCTTCCACAGAGCTTACTTCATTCATCTTCCCAAAGTGAAGCTCTGGTACCCACTGAACAGTGTTCACTCTTTTAGGGTGGTAGGATTTCCCCGTCTGTCACTTTCCTTAGCAACTTTCGTGGCTGTGAATGCCGGACTTATTCCCACTTCCCTAGGCAACAAGCAGAAGCAGCCTCCTCCTGATCCCTCCTCCTCAAAGTGGGTGGAGAAGGGAAGAAAAGCTCTTACCTGCTGGACCTAGTCAGGGAGGCCCCGACCCCAGAATCCCTCCTTTCCGGGATGTCTGAGGGCTCCTCGGGTTCGTTCAGTGAGTTGCCCGTGCTGTCCAGGTCGCTGGGGGTGGCTCGGTCATTGTCGACGTCCAGGTGTATCTGCTTGGGCGAGGACGGGCATGGAGAGACCGAGTCCAGGGCCGAGTCTGAGTCTCCCTCGTCTGAAAATTTCTCCGACCACTGGTTGACTATCCTCTGCATCCCCTTCACGTGGTAGAGGATGTCGTCCAGCTCGGGGAAGATGTCCTCGTTCTCCAGGTCGGCCAGGTCACCGGAACTGGAATAGAGGATGGAGCCGGGCACGTTGTCATAGATACTCAGGCGGCTGGTCATGGAGCTTGAGGAATTGCGTCTCTTAAGCTCCTTGGGGCTGTCGCTGCTGTTTTCCCTCCTCAGGCTGATATGGCCAGGGCCGTGGAAGCTTCCAGTCCTCCAGTTCACAGAGCTGTTATTCCCTGAGGGAGAGAAGTTACCGTTGGAGAGGGCTTTGGGGAAAGTGCCAGGCTTGTGATCTTCTGGGATGTAGAACACCGCGTCCTCCGGGTAGCTCTCGCAGTTTTTAAAGTTCTGTTCCATAACGTTGTTGAACGTGGACTGATTGAACGGATCGAAGCCCTCTAGGTACATGCCTCCCCGCTTGTTGCAGGCACTGAGGCTCCGGGTCCTGGTGACGGGACTGGGCGTGCTGACGTTGCTGCTGGTCTCGGACTGGCTGCTGCTGCTGCTCGTCTGCGTGGAGTTGGAGACGCTCCTCTTCCGCACCACGGGGACGTTGATGCGGTTGCCGTTGAGGGCGGAGATCTCCACGCAGTTCAGCTGTTTGAGCTTCTCCTCGTCCACCCCCTCCTGCAGGATGGGCGCGCTGATGATCAGCCCCAGCTTGGACGGCACCTTGTGCTTGCTGTGGTGGGAGCCCTTGAGCTTCAGGCTCTCCATGCGCTTCAGCAGGCTGTGTGTCTTGGACTTGGTGTTCTTCTCGTGGCCTTTCACGCTAAAGCTGAAGCTGGACAGTTCCTTGGGAGAGGGCAGGCTGCAGAAGGAGTCATCGTTGCCTACGAAGGTGCCGGAAGAGCAGACGCTGGTGATGGAGTTAGTCCGGGCCGTCGCCGCGCCCCCGAGGTGGGTCGCTGGCGTGGCGAGGCTGCTGGTGCTGCTGAGGCTGCGGACAGAAGCCACCTCCTGGCGCTCGCTGAGGTCCGTCAGCACGCTTTCACGGCTGGGGGCGTTCTTCAGATGGGGATCGTCTGGGGACCCAGGGACGGGGTCCTGCTTTGGAGAAAAGACATCGAACTCTTCAAGCCGGGACCACCTCTTGCTGTCCCTCTGGAAAGTCCATTTGGCACTTATTGCACAAGGCTCATCCTCGTCCGAATCCTCACTCTGCAGAGACAGAACGGAACCGCTCATCCCCTGGAACTGGCAGGCCGCAGGGGGCAGTATGTGCGCCAAGGGCCAGGGGCCAGGAGACTGATCATAACGCCAGCCGTGTCACTTCCCCCCTTGCATCTTTATTTGATTATTTTAAAAAAATAACCAAGATGTATGTAAAGAATTTAACAGGAAAAAGCCTGACCATGTGTTTCAAGCTAAATAGGAGTTATTTAATGGAAACACTGGGATCTACAGGCTGCTCTTTAATTGCTCACAGAGGAAACCTCTGAGATCTGTGAAAATTCCAGGCATGTAAAATATTTTGAACTGGAGTTAGCAATGGGTAGGACTCCCTCTGGTCTGCCTTTAATTTTGCTGTCTGTTGATAGTATGTGTTTATATTCCCTTTTGCAATTAAAATGGTGGTTTTCAAACACTTTAAGAAGAGGGGTAACCGAAATCTCTAGCTACCCTAAAAGTACACAAGATCTCCTCTAACAGATCAACGGAGACACAAAGCAAGGTGAGCCATCCCATCTCTTCAGTGGGTCAGTGGGTACTTCTCAGCCTCTTACCTGTTCCTTTTCGTTCCCTCCCCCACCAACACGGGAACCAGAGTTAATGCCAACAAGTGTCCTGTGACGTTTCAACCTCAGACATGCTCCAGCCTTTTAACAAGGCTTCACAAATACCCAGTCCTGACAGCACGTAACATTCACAAACAGGAAGTAACATCTCCGCTGCTGATGCCTGATTTACTGGTGGGACTCAGGGTTACCGTGTGACAGACCACTGCATCAAAGCCCTTGAGGCGGGATATCAAAAGGCACAGTTCAGTGTGAAGCATGTCCTTCCCACTGGTGTGGAGAATCTCCTGTGACCAGAGTTTGCCAGGACAGTGAGTGGAGAGCATTAAACGCTGACTTGCAGGCTCCTCTCCACAGCTCAGCGGGTGTGAGGTTCCAGCTCATTTGTTTAAAAGGTTTAACTCCCCCAAGAAGGCAACTTGCTGTAGGTTAGATAATTAAAATGGGTACTCTGAACAGTCAGAAATATGTTCTTTGACCAAACTTACTCCTGTTTACTCTAATTTGTGACACTCACTCCCACTACTACACCCACCTCTTCTCCTAAGATCTCGTAAGACGTCCTCACATTTCATACGCAGAAGAAAATACCATCTGAATCAGTTACGTGCCACCATTTCACTAGAATGTGTGGGATTTCCCACCCTCCCTCTTCCTCCTCTCATTCCTTTTCTCCCTCCAAATCTCCATTATTCTTCCATATCCTACCAGCCAGCCTTCACTGCCATCCCTACGGCTTCAAAATACAGTTACCGTTACATGTGGGAAGACAGAGTTCCCAAGAAGTTCAGCTTTAATTTCTGTAAGGAGGCGATGCAGAAGCCACCGGAATTCCTTAAGCCTCGTCCGTTTAATATGTCATAGGCATTGAGCTAATGAGGCAAAAATCACAGATGATCTTTTCCGATCAAAAACAGCAGGCAAGACACAATTTATTGGCTGGCTGCAACTCTTGGTTTCAACTACATAAGGCCACACAGCTTTTGGTAAACGTGACCGGATTATGACACTTAAAATGTCTATATTTTTGGACCACGGAAGTAAGAGTTTGAGAGACAAAATCTATCACAAAATTCATAATCCAGTTTTTGATCTGCCCCCTTTCCTCCCACCATGCTATACATTTTATATACTCACTCTCTTACGATGAGGACTAATTTCCAGCTTCATCACCGCGCATTTGTTTAAAGTATTCAGACGCCTACAGAGCAAAGAAATAACATTAGCAGAGACAGGAAACCACTGATGGGTGGATAAATATTTTTTCCAAACAGCTGATGTGTTTAATCGAGTTTCTTTGAATCCATTAGTATCTATAATATAGAAGAGTACTTGAAACTTCTTTAAAAAGTGAACAGTTTAAAAATATTTATGTTTCACAAGTTTTCTCATTTAAATTTAATATTACTATTTTATAGTAAAATGGCACACTGTGGTGGTTCTGTCTGGTGCCTCTTATTCCTCACAGAACAAACAACCCTCAGTGAGGACAGTTATTCTTTCAACAACCCCTAGGTCGAGTCATTAGGTATCTCCACCCAGTGCCAAGAAATAAAAGGCAGTGATGTCTTCTTTCACAGAAATAGAAACATGAACAAGGAACCAAGCAGAGTTGTTGGTAAATAAAGTGTATTCTATCTCAAATCAAAATTCAAATATAAAAATAATCTCTGACAAACAAAAACCTTAGACAGCCTGTTAAAAAATGCAGTAAGTTCTTAATAGAAATTTGAGCCCTCTTTAACAGCCAGTTCTTTTTTACAGCTTCCCGTACAGGACAGGATAATGCGTGGTATAGTCGCAGCAACAGCACAAATGACTAATTAAAAAATTTGTATACTTCAGCTTCAAGGGTCAACATCTTTAAGAGTTCAAACATAAGCACTTGAATCAGGTTCTTCTTTGGAACAGGAGTCACATTCTTACTCTGAATATTTTTTACCCCTGCCAAAGAGTAATAATTTAAAATTAGGGAAGTAATTTAGCTTCACTGAAAATGAAATACTTAAAAAAAAACAAAACAAAACCCACCTCAATGGTAAGTAATGAAATAGCTGAAAAAAAGAAGCCCTTTACACGTGCAGGAATAAATGGCATGTAAAAGTCTGCAGGACAGCTTTTCAAGCCCCAGTTCTTTCTAACATCTTCCAGATGATCATCGCTTAGTCTTCCTCAAATGGACCTTTAACCTATCTGCCGTCTGGTACCATCAGTTTTCCAATTTTTCCTAAGATTGCAATTCTTCCAATTCCACAGGACAAGTGCATTTAATGCACACAAACTCAAACTGAACATGAGTCCTCTTCAAGGCTCTATCTTTCTGATCCTGTTCTTGCAGCCTGTCTAACAACTTGGATGCAGGAGGGTAGAAAGTATTTTTACTTGCTGATAAGACTGCCCTTGATTTCATAGATTATGTGGTAGCCTGCTTATAGGATAAACAAAGATAACCCAGAGCACCTATGTTCAGGAAAATTCTCTCTAATGATGGAAAGGGAAAGAAAACAAATAACTAAAAAAACCATCCACAGACATTAAAACGAGTGGATATAAAGTCCCTCTCTAAGGGGCATCCATTACTTAAATGACTTCTACCCACAGTGTTTTAGTTCTTCAATGTTTTTAAGATTTAAAGAATCGGGAGGGTCACAGCTAGTCTTAGGTCTGGGTTTCATTAATCAAACCTGTTAATCAAATACCCGCTTGACATCATTTGGGCTGTAATGGTTGAGGGTTGTTTATAACCCAGTTTACTAGGCGTGGATGCCTATAGGGGTGGGGGAGGGACTTGCTTCACAAGCTCCAGATTTGAGTCAAACGGAAAGGGCCAAGCAGGTCATTTTTGTAAAGGTCAGTGTTACCTTTTTCTATCCATAGCACCAAGCTAATGGCGCTTCGAAACTGAAGCCCAGAAGTTATTCCCCGAGGTCTCCGTGGGATTCATTTGACCCCTAGGAACCTCCAAAGTGGTGGGATGTTACCGATTTAGAGACGTTACAGACACGAGGTAGGAGTTCTGGCTTGCCGAGTCGCGGCTGCGTTCTAGGTCAGGCATTGTGCCTGGAGCCTCATGTGTGTTATTTCGTCTTGATCCTCACAACAACCCTATGGTAGAGATACTACTATTTATCTTCATTTTATAGATGAGGAAATGGGGGCTTGGAGTGGACACAAACCTTGTCCAAGGCCACATGACTAAAACATGGTGGCTCTGGCCCTCAAAAACAATATCTTCTGCATTCCTTTCTAAAATAAATGTTAATCATGATAATACATGGGAGCAGCTTCTATCCTAAGTATGGCTCCCTCCAGTGAGTGGCAGAACACTGGTATCTCCCACTGTCTGTCTAGAAGCCCTGGCCTTTCCCACCCCACAGGGCCCTCACTGGCTCAGCTCCTCAGGAATGTGTCAGTCTTATCTGCTGGGCAACTTGTACTCTGCTCTGAGGGGGGAGGGAGCACAGGGTGAGCCATCAAAGGTTCAAGAGCTTTGCTGGAGGGAGCCGCAAGCGCCCTGATAAAAGCATGGCAGGCAGGGATCTGGGCCTCAAGTATTCCAAGTGGAAACAGGGAAAGCAGAAGAGAAGTGAGAAAGGAGAAAGGAATGATTTCCCAAGTAGACCTGACAAATAAAAATTGTTCCAATCCTTAAAGATATTTTCTTGGCAATAATGCAATTGCTTTTCTTTTAATAGGACCAAAACAGTAACGTAGTTGAAATCTACTATGTGGCCAGCTGCTTCACAGAGCTTAGGCACTTCAAGGGCTGTTTTACAATAAAGTGCAGACTGGAGATGATACTACGGATATCTATTTGTCATTACATGATTATCACCTTATTTGCATAATTCTTTGCTGTACTCATAGGAGTCAGTTGTAATCCCAAAGGAAGATAGCGAGATGGGATATTTTTCAGAAGCTATAAAGAGAAAGAACATTTCATAAAAGGTATTGTAAGAGTAGGTCACAGTTTGCATTATCACCTGTATACGCATCAAGACAAGCGAATTACTCCTCCAGTATTAATACTGAATGTGATACTCTCAGAATCTGGGCCTTATCATCAGGGCTGGATTATACAGCAAAGCTAGCAAGATTGGGACAAAAGCCAATCTCTCCAAGGAAACAAGTACGTTTATCCCTTACAAGTGTGTGTGTAAGAATGTTGGTTAGCAATCTAAACCCAAAAAATCTAGTAGCTGCATACTTATAACTTTTGGTCATTACAAACTATTGAAGGCAGTATCATTAACATTCTCAAGAAAACATTAAGCTACAAGTTTTCTGCTCTAAGTAGACTATTTTAAGAGATCAGCTCCTACCAGATTTTTGACCAAAGGAGCTTTAAGATCTGCAAAAGTTCTAAGTACATGAATGTTTATAATAATCATTAAGCAGAACATAAGAGTGTATACTAGTGTGTACATGGGAGTACTCCATCCGTGTGTGTGTGGGGGGGCTGGGGTAGGGGGGTGGCAGGAAAGAGAAACCATGTAACAATTATTTCGTTGAAAACAAATCTAAAAAAGTTTTACTTAAAGTAAAAATATTAAATATTTAATAAGATTTTATTAAGGTAAAACTTTTCAGCTGCGTTTTTGTAACTATATTACCGTATATATTTAAAATCAACTGCTGAAAATATTTCAACAAGGCAAAAGATGGAGGTCTACAAAAAAGTCCGTCCATCTAGAAAAAAACTTGATGAATGACAAGGCAAAATTTCAAACAACACTGTAGATTCAAGATTTGCTGGCCCTTTGAATTTCATGGGCTGAGAGTACATGGAAGAGGCCAGTCTAGCAGATGAGATGAATATCACATCATCAATTAAACAAGCATCCTCAACTACTCTGCTGACAGCTCAGGACCTGTAGTGCATTTTCAAGGAAGATGCCTGTCCCCACCTTTATCTTCAGAACATTTGTTTAGCCCTCTCGAAGGAAAATCATTTGCCATGAGAAGTTTATTTATGCGAACACGTGGACAAGAGACCTTGGGTTTTCCATTACAAACAAGCTGATGACTGTTCCTGTGAGTTCTGACCCCAACCTCAAGCCTTTCTTCACATACTCAACTCTGGGTGTCGGTTTTAGGCCTAATAATTTTTAAAGCACTTGACATCCATCACTGCATTTCCTTCTTACACTTAACCTATGAGATATTATTCTACACATAAGAGAAACTGAAGCCGAATCAGAATACACTTGCAGAATCCAAAGAGATCAAGGTCTAGTTGTTTTCAGGCTTTTCTTTTCGCAAAAGATCTAAGAGTATAGATTTACTCCTTTTAAAGGGAGGCAGCTTCTCTGATGGAGCTAAGAGCCAGTGTAGCCAGTGTAAATCACAAAATATGGAGGATGCCCTTATCCCCAGAAGAGGGAAACTACGTTTCAAACTGATATTTAAAAAAAAGAAAAAGAAATTCAAGAATCTAATCACGATCCTTTGGGTTGCAATGCTGCAGTGATATTTTTATGACCCAGGAATTCCTAAGCTGTTGCTGCTGTTCAGAGGGCACGCTCACTAAGTAGCTTGAAATGTGTGAAATGCATGATCTGACGCAGTAACCTAGTAAATATTTCCTAGGTTACATCTTAGGAGTGATGTCATCTCTATGCATTATCACCAATGATGAACTGAAAAGAAATTAATTCTGCTCCACAGCTAAGCATTCAAACATTTCAAAAATGTCTGGAGTAGTTTATATTCCAGATGCAGACTCTTTCTCTCTTAAACTGTGTTGGTGAAATTTTTTCATTCCAGATGACATAGCTATGATATTACACTCTAGGGAGTGGGGTGGGGAGTTGGAATTAAGTTTCTTCCAGAAAAAGTGTACAAACCCTGGACATTTCTAAGCAATCATTCCATTGGATTTGAAAAGTGACAGTATTTCTGTGGTTAATGTGACATTTTTTTCTTTCTTAAGTCAGGAGAACTAGTCTATTACTCCATTCTACACATCCTACCTATCTTCCCCTAAAACCCCTGCTTAACTTAAGTGCTTCAAAAAACACTGTATTACATAAGAGAGGCAAAAATAGTACTTTCATAAAGCTACTGCATTCTTTGCCTATAAAGGGGAAATAAATCCTGGGTGCCATTCAACCTTAATGATGCTTTTCCAAGTTAAAATTAATACTGAAATTAAAAGAAAACTGTTTTAATTTTACGATCAAATCAACAAGTGAATTTTGTCCGTGTATAATTTTTTTTCTCCAGAGTTCAGCTTTGATGGTTTATAGGTTTTGAGAAAAAAAACCAAAGGATGATTAACTTAAAATGAATAATATGTCATGAAGAGTCAGGGAGGAGTATCAGTGTCCCGTCATTTTCTGCTGCGTGTTTTATTACTTCCATTCCGTTAAACCCTGCAAGCTGCTCCTAAGCCTGAAGATCCACCAGCACCACGAACATGGGTTTCTGAACAGTTTTGTTCACATTTCCCATCAATGCTCCTTTGCTGCCTGTCTACTTTATGTTAAAGGCTGTGCTGAGTTACTTTACAGCCTCAGTTAACCCTACTGTTAGGACGGTGTGCCTGGGGAAGCTGAAGAGTTGCGGAAATGCTTTCCTGGAATTCAAGCAATGGCCCTCCTGCCTCTAGTCTGCCACAGCCCCTACTTCCATCTGTCTCTCCGAGCGTCATTTCCATTCAATACAACAGCGGCTCTGACTCGGCGAGGGTACCTGGCTGGAACTGCACAGTCAACTGCACTGCCTTAACCCCCCTATTCCAAGTTTTCAAACTTGCTGGACATTATCTGCTCCAGCAGTCGTATGAGCACATCCCAGGACAGTGCTATTTGAATGGCAATACTAAATGACAGGAAGTTACTTATTCTAATCAAAAGGCCTATGATTTATAATGAAGTAAATCACTATATCCATTTACGGATCAAAACCCTGACATATTTAGAACAAAAGCAATCTCATCAGTGATAAGTACTATGTTCTTTGAAAAGAAGAAAAGAGAAAGAAAACACACAGAACATTTCCTTTTACCTGCATAAAGCCTCAATAGCATCTCTGTCCAAAAAATCATGCTCTCTCTTGACCAAGGAAATATCAATGGGGAACAGGAGATCTATAAGAAAAATAAAAACAAATACGTTTATTGAGCACCCAAGCTCTTCCAATCCAGCGCAGTTTAGCAGAGGGAAGAAAACAAGGTAATTTATTGAATACTTACTGTTTGCAGGACACTTCACTCCCTATCAAGTGCTGTGGGTATGTAAAGCAGCTTAAGGCAATTTCATCAGTGCCCTAAAGGAGCTTGGAATAAAGTGGTCTGCAGACTCAAATTATCTGTTGTCAAAGATAAGTGGTTCAAAACACTGTTCCACCTTTAAACACATCAGCAAGCAACAGACCTCTGCTATGTAAATTATAATTTAAACCAGAATGAATACCAGAAGGATGTTCACGGTAATGCGGCTGTTTTTTCCCTCCCATGTGTGTCTTTGCTCACATTTGATCAGGGAAGAGGTCACAGAAAACCGAGCCAAGGAAAGATCTAGAGAACTGTGGTAGTTGTCAATGGAATCCAACCATTTGCATGACATCAAAAGCTAACGAGAATTAAGGATGTGCTATTTTTAAACAAATACTAGCACTTCCATATGGCTTTTCAGGAGTTTATATAACTCCCACTAAAACAAAAGCCCAGCTCTAAAGCAGCTGTAGAACAATAGAATCCCAAATCCTTTCATCCTTGGAAGAGTTCACTACTCTAAGAACACGTAAGTTATATTAAAATCGAAAAGCAAAAAGGGGGAAAAGTCAACTCAATGAAAGAATTCCCTTTTCTGTCCCTTGTTGATAAATACACTCCAGGAAGAGTAGGGAGGAAGAAGACCAGCAGCCCCGCTGCGGAAATTTGCAACAGCTCTGGAATTGCCACTAGATAAAAGCAAGTTATCCCTCTTTGGTGTTCCAAGCACTTAGGGTAAATAATGGGCCTTCCTAGTAAAACGCTTATAAAATATCATGAGGGAGAGTCCTGCTATGCAACTCTGTGGGTTAGGAATAGGCAAAATAAGAGCACTGCAGGACACCAGGATTAACAGAACCAAAAACTCGCTTTGGCCCCCCAAATGGCTAATGCTGCATATACTGAAACAGACACGGCTATTGGTAGTTTTGGAGATGCAAGTAGCTAACAGTGTTCTACTTCAGGGGTTGACTAGGGAGCACATGACTGTTGCTTACGTTTTTATGGTTTCTAACTTAGGATCATTGGTTTTACAGGATGGTATGGAGCTCCTTATTCTTGGTCATCTATTTTCCAGAGACTACACTTATGAGTACCTTTTTTTTTTTTTTAAATAATGTTGAAAACTAACATAATGAGTATTTGGTCTATTCTTTTTTCTGAAAGCTAGCATTAGATTAGCGATCCTGTTCTCTGAATGGCTAGAGCCTAAACATTGATGAAGAAATTCATAAAATTCAGTATCACAGGATTTATCTCTTCATTACCTTATAGACCAAGTCTCTTAGGCAAATGATTAGTGGCACCACTATAGGGGCAATAAAAGAGAGGACTTCAAGTGAATGTAAACTATTAGTAAATAGAAGCAAGCCAGACTGTAAAGCTGTTTGAAGGTTCTGGCAATTGTATTTCACTTTGAACAGATAACCTGCACTCTAAGTATTAAAGGACAGAGCTGATATTAAAAAATATATTTTTAATACTTAATAAATGTAAATCGTAAAGTTCACATGCCTGTTACATGCATCTGAGAAAGCAACTCTGTTATATTAGCAATTCCTAACTCAGTGTACCCAGAGCTGTATTTTACTTTCCTGATCCAAATTAACTTTAAAATTCTGTTTAAAAAAAAAAAAATTCTAGGATAGGTAGGGACTAAATTCAAGAGAAGAGTGAAATAATTACATCTTTTTTTTTTTTTTTTTTCTGTATTTCTCAGAGTTCTTCAGGCTAGGATTAATCTTTCAGCTTGGGTTTAAGGGCAGGATGTTTATATTGTCAAGGACCGAAATAAAGGTAAACAGGAATCAAGGAATGAGTGGGATGGCATGTGGTGTGTGTGTACCCACCCTGCACATAAGGGTAGGATGAAGGGGAGAAATTATAAATGCTCAGAACAATGTACAGTATAACTTCAAAAGTAGGTTTATGCTTCAAAAGACTTATAAATGTCAAGGGACCCCAAAATGTAACTTGTGAAAATACAGTCTGCATTTTAGGATTTGGAAAGATGTAAGACACAGACCGGAACTGGATCTTAGCAAACATACACATCAGAAGAAAGGGCTTCTTGGCAGCAAATCAACACCAAAACTTGACATAATTGAAGGAAATTTAATTTCAAAACACGAGAACAAAAGGACAGCATGTTACTACCACTGCAAATGTAATTATCCTTCCTTATCTCCAGTAGAGCTGTGAACTGAAAATCCAATAGAATGCTGTTCCGCACCCCACCGCCACCAAAGCTCTACTGAGAGACAGAGATGCTGTAAACGGCAACAGGTCAAAAATTCTCCCAAAGGCAGGATAAGCAACTCCACCATAATAAACATGCAGGTTAACCAAACACCTTAAAAAGAAAGAAGAAAAGAAAAAGGAATTGGAGATATTCTCTGAAATGGAGGAAGAGTAAGATATTCTACATAGTCTAACTATAAAATAATTTTAAACCCATCTTCACGGAGAAATATCTTACGTTCAGTCTGGGCTACAATGAGGAAGGGCAGGCATTATAAACGAGGTAAGGAACTAAACTAGCCGAGTGAGCCAGGGAAGTAAAACGACCTCTGTGGTGGTCTCGCCCCAGTTTGCTTCCGGGGAGCACCCCAACCCCCTCTATATCCCTGCCGACCACGCTAGCATTTCCAAGCTGAAAACCTGTATCCGTTCTTAGTACGGGTTCATGGCGTTTTGCTCGTGTGTTAAAGAAGGATGCTGGTGACCACCAGCTCCAATTGAGAGCCCACTGCCATTGCTACAGGAAGCAGCCTGCTTGTTATCATCCTAGAAGGACGGAAGAGCAAAAGACACGTTTTAAAATCACTATTTATCGTGAGAAGAGTTGAACATCCCTGGTGAAAAGACTGAAGTGACATCATTTAACCTGGATCTTTCAGCAGTTTTGTCACATCATGGCTAAATGTCTCCCAACATCTCCTTCCTCTTAAGTGATAATAAAAAAGATGTATTCTTTAAATGAAAATTAACCAATATTATGCTTGCTTTTTGAGATTTTTGGCAATTTCTTTGAGGTATGAACTGTTTTATTTCTATAAAATATGAAGCGTCTACCACAGTGGTGGGCATCCCTGTTGGTGCAGAATTAATACTGGTTTGTTGATTAGCTGAATGGATGGCTGGATGGATGGAGGGATGAATGGATGAATGGATAGATGGAGGGATGGATGAATGAGAGACACCAGGTGCCGTCATCTCGGTAGAGTTAAGGAAACAAAGAATGCTCAAGTTGGAAGAGGCCTTGGAAGTCATTTATTCTCAAGGTAGGAGTCACTTCACTATCCACCCAACCTTGGCTTGCAAATCACCCATAAAATAGAGCTCATGAGTTCACAACTGTAGTTTTTTTTTAATGATTTCATGTAGAGAACAATAAGCCTCCCTTTTAAATAAACAGCCTCCTCCCCTCGCCTTGCACAGAGCACACTCTGCCCACCCTGGGCAGCCTGATGCTCAGGGCATGAGCGAGACTCAACGAGCTCATCGTCCTCAGCCTCAGCATCTGAGCGATGCCCAGAGCGCTAACGAGAAAACGAAGAACTAGAAAAAAGTCAGCCTAGGTCTTGATTTTTAAAAAAAGGTCCATTTTATCTTAATTAAAAAATCGAATAACATAGGAGAAATAATATTCATCAAATGGCAATCTATGGAAAAGTGAAAAGCCTAATGACAAAGCGGAGAAAGATATCTATGACACATGACCAACAAAGCCTTAGTATTTACTAGAATAAAGAGCTCTTATAAATCATCAAAAAAAAGCACAATCAACTCAGGGGAAAAATGGGCAACAGATATTTCACAGAAGAGCAAACATATATGGCCAAATGACACAAAGAAATGTGCCTTATCATTAAAAATTAGGAAAATGGCAGTCAAAATCCATAAGATATCATTTTATATCCATTTAATTGGCAAAAATTAAAGTCTGACAATATCAAGGGTTGAGAGCATGTGGATAGACAGGATCTTTATATATTACAGGGAGGAGTGAAAGTTGGCACAGGAACTTTTGAAAAACTTGCATTATAAAGTTGAACATACATCTCTATCACCCAGTAATGCTACTCTTAGGCATACACGCAAGACAAATTATTTCACGTGTACTGAAAGAGTGCAAGAATATTCCCAACAGTACAGTTTATAAAAGCAAAACAAAGAAAACCCCAAAATGCCCACCAATCAGTGTGGATATGATAAACTGTGGCATATCCACACAATGGAGTATTACACAGCAGTCAAAGGTGATGAACTATGAGGACACACAGTATGGAAGAACCTTAACAATAATAAATGAAAAAATTAAATCGTACAAGATTACATAGAGCATGATACCCTTTTTATAAAGATAAACAACTTTATAAAAATATTTATTTTAGGGAAATGCAATAAAGCTATATAAAAGGAAAGCAAGGAAATGATAAACCAAGGTTTCAGAATGATGGTTACTGCGGCTAGGGGATGGCAGAGGGATGGGAGACAGGTGGGTGTGTTATTATCAAGGTCCTAGCTGTTTTGGGTGGTTGCCACACTATTCCTTAATGAAATATTTAAGTAAATAATAAAATATCTGAAAATAAATCATAGATCAATAATAATCATGAGGGACTTCCCTGGTGTCAGAGTGGTTAAAAATCCGCCTGCCAATGCAGGGAACACGGGTTCGAGCCCTGGTCCAAGAAGATTCCACATGCCGCGGAGCAACTAAGTCCGTGTGTCACAACTACTGAGCCCGCGTGCTGCAACTACTGAAGCCCACTCGCCTAGAGCCTGTGCTCCACAACGAGAAGCCACCGCAATGAGAAGCCCGTGCACCGCGATGAAGAGTAGTCCCCGCTCGCCACAACTAGAGGAAGCCTGCGCACAGCAACGAAGACCCAATGCAGCCAAAAATTTAAAAATAAAATTAAAAAAAAAAGTGCAAAGCTTATAAAAGAATTATAATCATGAACCAAGGATATGATTTTGCCCATTAAAAAAGAATGGCATTCCCGGCTCACCTTCATACAACTGGGCGTACTGGGGGAATCCTGCCGCCCGTAGCCAATCACAAGCTTCTTTGGCTTCAATTTCTAGAATAGAACAGAGGACAGACAAACATGTTAGTCACGTGTAACTCAGCGTACTTCTTCTTCCTTAATAAACTCTGGTTTTGTTATATAAGCAAAAGACGACATCTGTTGAAAAGGGATAAGCGAAAAGCGAAAAAGAAAATCCACTTATTCAAATGGTTTCGATTTTTGTGCATCTTTTCAGACTTAAAAAAAACATGTAATTATCCATCTTTCCTTTAAAAAACCAAAAACAAAAATGGAGTCCCAGCAGTAAGTTACTCTGTGCTGCTTCTGTGTTCTGGTTATAAATGATTAAGAAAATAGGGCTTAATGAGAAAGTTGAAGAAGGATTAAATAATTATTAATTTTAGGCCTAGATGGACTAACTTGCTTTACTTTTCACGTCAATAAAAGGCCACCAAGTACATCTGACACCCTGGAAGAGCACTAACTTGACCAAAGGGACTGAGCTTCTGCCACACAATGGGATGCGTGTAACTGCCCAGGGGCTGTGAAGGTGTGCCTTCGGGTGCATCAGGCAGTAAGAGAGGGCTGGGCGGTCAGGGGCCCTGGAGGGCATTAAGTCAATAAACCCCACAATCTTGGCTTCTACTTCCCCGTGATTAACATCTTGTAGATAGTATTGATAAACAGAAAGGCCAAGAGCAACTGACACACCTGCGTTCAAATTCACTCAAGCACTTATTTACAATCCCGTTAAAACTGACTCACAGAGGAGGTCGGCACAGTCATTAGTTTCTCAGTTTGCACAAAGAATATTCTTTCAACCCTCTTCCCACCTTCCTCAGACCATTAGAGTACTTAAGGTATGTAAGGCTATTCACTCATTTATAAATGTCTCAACATTGCTTAATTTATTCCAGATACAAATCTTCATTATGCATCTCTCCTCTGAGCCAGATAGGAGGTTGACAGTCCATCATAGAGAAGTATGTCTAGTAACTTTATAATTTCAGAGCATTTTTTAAACTATTATTTTATGAGTTCCTTGGGTCTTTAAAGAAAAGAGAATTAAGAACACTCAAATTCATTAAAGCAAGTAGGAATGTCCTTATTTTTTTTATTTTTATTTTTTTTTAGATGTTGGGGGTAGGAGTTTATTAATTTATTTATTTTTGCTGTGTTGGGTCTTCGTTTCTGTGCGAGGGCTCTCTCTAGTTGTGGCAAGCGGGGGCCACTCTTCATCGCGGTGCGCGGGCCTCTCACTATCGCGGCCTCTCTTGTTGCGGAGCACAGGGTTCAGTAGTTGTGGCTCGCAGGCCTAGTTGCTCTGTGGCATGTGGGATCCCCCCAGACCAGGGCTCCAACCCGTGTGCCCTGCATTAGCAGGCAGATTCTCAACCACTGCGCCACCAGGGAAGCCCCGGAATGTCCTTATTGAACGAACGTGCCAAAGATAAAAGCCTGCTGCTATCTTCTGATGAGTTAGTTAATACCCAAACAAAAACAATTATGGCAGCAGAGAAGCAATAAATGACACGGCAGGGTTTATTAGTTTCATGAATCTTTTCAGTGTGGCGATGAAAGCAGCATCATAAAACGCAAGATTCAGGACTGAATTCGGGGAAGAAGGATAGAGTGACATGAATGTGTAAGAATCTCGAGGTGTGTACTAAATCATAGAATTGTCCAATGTGAATTACCTGCGCTAACATTTTTTCACGTATTTATAACCATGCCTTGTTTCAGAAAGGAATTAATGAAGCTTTAAGTAAAATCATAAAATAAACATTTTCCAGAGAACTACATTGCTGGAAAAACATATAAAAGCTCAACATTTTATTTTAAAGGATGTGGAAACTACTCTTTTCTCTATCCCCATGGCCCTTGCTCAAAGATAGATATGGAAAGAAAAAAAGTTAATTGTTTTTTAAAAATATTTTAAATATCTCACTTCTTCTATCTGGAGGTTATTTCCACTGAACACATTGTTAGACATCGAACAACAGATTGCTAAAAAGTAAATGTATTCGCTTTCTAAATATTTTACTTAATAAGTGGTGAGTAGCCAGAAATTCTCAACGTCCACCCTTTCTGGCCTGTACTCAGATATGACAACAGATCAGTGCACATGTGGCATGTGCGCGCGCGCGCACACACACACACACACACACACACACACGCCTTAACTGGACACAATTCTCCAGCCAGTATCACCACCTATTTAGAGAACGTTCCTGACTTCTTATTAAAATGGCTTCATGCCAAGAGGCACGAAAGATATAAGGTATTATTCTTCTAAAAAACCTTTAAATTTATATAATACTTTACAAATCACCAAGTGTTTTCACATATATTACTCCCTTAAGGCCCCACGTGACTTCAGGAACACATAAATGCCTACTGCTGTGTTGTCATCCTTATTCATTTTCCACCACTACAAAAAGAAATGCCCCCAAATGACCAAAATCGATCTAAAAGGCTGTGTTCAAACAGCCACTCTTCTTAGGGCCACTTGGTTAGAAAGAAATGATGTGAACAGGCCAAGGTTTGCTTCTTCAGCAGATAATTTAATGAAAGGTCTACAGTGGCTAAAAAGCAGCACTTCCAAGAACTACAGAGATAGTAATTTTACCTGCCTTTTCCTTTCCCTAATATAGATGAGAATGTCTTTCTTTTAGATATGAAACCCAGACAAGCCTGTATCTAGTTTACATTTAACAAAGTCCATTCATGAAAACTTAGGCTGCATAATAATAAATGAGAACTTAAACCCACTGTTTCTATAGAAATCAGAATTAGAAAATTGTAAAAATTGTAAAAAGCTGTCACTGATTTTTTTTTTTTTTTTTTTTTGGGTACCCGGGCCTCTTACTGTTGTGGCCTCTCCCGTTGTGCAGCACAGGCTCCGGATGCGCAGGCTCAGCGGCCATGGCTCACAGGCCCAGCTGCTCCGCGGCATGTGGGATCTTCCCGGACCGGGACACGAACCCGTGTCCCCTGCATCGGCAGGCGGACTCTCAACCACTGCTCCACCAGGGAAGCCCAACTGTCACTGATTTTTTAATAAATGAGACAGTTACTGACTTCACTCCCACCCCTTTCCAGTTACCAAGTGAAAATGATAACGATCTAAGTACTGATTTTTAAAAAATCAGCATTTCCATTTTATTTAACATGAAATGAACCTATGTCTTCATCCAGGTCAGGTAGGGATTTACCCCTTCTAGTTCCCTGGATCCAGGCCACAACTTTGACTCTTATCCTAACTGAAACTCCAAGTTTCCAATTCTCTCCTCTCTGAGACTGCAGCCACCAACTCTGCCTCATCAAACTTCCTGCATTACAGTTTTGATCTTGTCTCTCCTGCAAAAACTTCCCTGGAGCTCCACTGCTTAGAAAATCAAGTCTAAATATCTCCCTAGGTTTTCAAGGTTCTCCATGTGGCATCCAAACGAATCGTTCAGCTCCCTGTACTCCCTCCATACCCCAGCCAAAGTAAACTTGGTCCTTCCTCATCTCCCCACACATCCCTGGCTGGAAGTTCTCTCCTATCCCCCCATTATCCTTCAAGGCCTAGTCTAAGCGCCACCTCCTCTAGGAAGTCTTCCCAGATGCCTCCTGACAATTCTGTCAATGGCTAACTTTTCTTGAGCGCTGACTGTGCATAAGGCCCAGTTTAAGTACTTAAGGCACATGAATTCCTTGACTCCTCTTACTGATCCTAACACATGGGTTGCGAATATCATCCCACATGGGTTGGGAATATCATCCCCAAAATATGCAGATGAAGAAACAAGTGGAGAAACAACCAGCTCTCCTCGAAAACAAGCTTCCTTTCCATTCAAATGCCCTAGTGAACAGGAGAGCTAAGACTTGCAGAAATGAGCAACACCGGATTTTCCTGAAAAAATATGTAACAGTGAACAACACTTAAAATATTAAACAAAACCAGGTAAACGTTGCATTACTGCTGTCACTTTAACTCCCCATGCCTGTTTTTGGAGGCCTCTAGCTAGTTCTCAGGGTGTGACTTTTCCTTCAGTGGTCGAATGAAAAACTATCAGCACGGTTTTTAAAAAACATTCCCCACCAGGCAGAAGTGCCATCAGAAACTGGAAATACAGTGGAAATACAATGACACTTTTAGACGTGGGTCTTCTCTTAGCAAACAACAGACAAATGTGTGAAGGAGGAAACAGGAAATTTTTATTGGAACCACCTTTAATAATTAGTTGTATTAGATGAATGAGGTTCAGGACACCTTTGGTGTAAGGCTTGGGAACCATTAGGCCATATTTGCATGCTTCCTGGCATGATGGGATGACCCTATCTTCCCCTTACCTCTCAACAGTAAGTTAAACAGAAATTCCCCAACAGCGTCATCATTCCGCTGAACTCGCTGATCTTAGCGGCTGAGCAATGGTAATCGGGTCGAAGCAGGATGTGATTACTTCCATCTTCCCTTTGCTCTACTTTCACAGTGCGAACCCTCGTGCTTGCTTCCTGCCTTCTTTTCAATGTGCTCCTGAAATCAGGGCTCAAGGCAAATGCTACATGGACTTTACCTCTTAAATAAAATTCTAAGGAATTGGAGGAATGTAAGAAAATTCAAACATTTTCTAGATTCCTTGGATTCCCCCAACTATGGCAGACTTGCGGGCAAAGATCCATGGAAACGTTGATGTTCTTACAGCCCTGGAGAAGCACGTCAACTGTGTGAAGGCAGGCAGTGCTTTCTGATCTAAACCAAGATGCCTGCCCTGGTCACAAAAATTCTTTCAAATGGAAGGAGTAATTACTTCAAATGATCAGTTCTCTCGCCTCCGTTAAGGTGGCCAATTTTACAGGACTGCCGTACAGCTGGGCACCAACAGCCTAACCTTCCTGGGCAGGTGGGTTTCACAGGGCAGAGAAGCAAACCACAGCCTCAGACTCTTGATCTCAGTGGCTCTGAGCCTTGGATCCTAGTAGGCATCACCTTGGGGAGCTTTCTAAAACCACCCACCACTATCCACTCCCAGGTATTCTGATTTTCTCCGTCTAGGGAGGGCCCA